CTCGTTTCATCGAAATAGCGAGTAGATATAATGCATCGTTACGGTACCAGCCTCGATAAGGTAACGTTCTCGAGGCAAGGCGAATAAAAGGCGCATCTTTATCCTCGAAGATAGAGCGCGCACACGAACTATTCTGTGAAAATTTACTGGGATGCGTTTGGGATTCCGCCACGCGTTCGCGCCATATGGCTCTCGGGAACGATTCGTTTTCGTGAAAGGCGAAGTGTCGAAACCGAAAACAGCAAAGTCGATCTATCACGTGCTCGTCACACGCCCCACCCCTCGGATAGTCGCTAATTGGATGTGAAATTAAATACAGGCTGACGAAAAGTTAATGAATATAATACGATCGTGCTTTCAATCATGACTACGATCGAATCTGCTCGTTTGGAAGCGAGAAGCATTTTCCCTGCGTTGAGAAAAAATTACTAGAAAATTTACTTGTAGGATGTAAAGTTGATTTCTGCGAATAAACTTTATATCTCATAAATAAATTTTTTGATATCTTTTTCTCAGAGTGTTCATGAAAATCGATGTATTTCAATAAATGGTCGTTATTTGATCATAGAAATATATTGGTAAATTTATGTACAAGCGCCTACGAGTCGCAGATTGTTTACATTGGACATGACGTGTTTAAATGTCTTCCCGGTAGTACCGATTAATCTACTTTCTTCACCCAGCCGCAAGGTGTCTTTCCTCTCGAGTGCATTCGTGTTGCCTTCCCCTCGAGTTATCGTGAAATCTCCCGCCTTCGGTCACCAACACCTTACGCCTTCCCCCAAGCCGCGCATCGCGATTCCTTTGGTGGAAGCATATTAAAAATCCTTTATCGGCGTCAACGTATCGCTGCATGAGTAAGACAGAAGAACTGACTTTCACCCAACGTTGTTCATTTCTCATTTCATTTGTAACGTACAGTGAATTGCAAAACGGCTTAGACACAATAAAGTTGGGAGCTCACCTAATTGTCGAAACGGAGAGCCGTTACGCAGACAGACTTAAAAACAATAATCATATAATTAAGAGTATTAAGTAATAATACATAAAAATAATACTAATAATGATTAATAATAATATTAATTAATAACATAATCACTGCGCAAGTTTGTCAGTAATAATTCTCAATTTTGATAATTTAGTGAGCTCCCAACTTCATTGTATCTAAACCGTCTTGCAATCTAATATACCAGGATATATACGCACTTATAACAGGAATGCCAAACTTTCATGTGTGTTTCAATGTTTCATTACATAGAGAGAAAAAATTTAACAATGATTTAAGAAAATACCAATACCCGCAACAAGCGCTTTGTTGATGTAATTCCGCAATGGAAACAAATAATCTGTTACTTTCAATTTACTGCTCCAAGCAACATTTTGAATACGTATGGAACTAACCTAATCTAAGTAAACGAAAACAAATGTGATTTGTATCTTAGACAAATATACATTTGTTAAAATGACAAATGATAAGAGATGATTTGCAATATACATTGGACATGACGTGTTTAAATGTATAAATATGTGTATAAATATACATTTGTTAAAATGACAAATGATAAGAGATGATTTGCAATGGTAACTATTCGTTCCGTTTGATGAACGATCATCAAACAGCAAGTGCTCTTTTATTCTGACAACTAAGGAATTTTTCCCAGTGTGTGTAAGATCTTCAGCGTTATTGGTATTTCATTCTGCCTTTTCTTATAATCCTCCTGCTGTAAAACTGTTCACAACTTTCGTCCTTTCTTTTTTCGTGATTATCATGAATATTTTACGTCGCTGTACTATCAATCCCAGTAATATAAAGAGAAATATGAGAAAGAAAGAAGTGTGGGAGAATACTTGAATGTCCAAAAGAGGTGTGGAAGAATATGTTTCAATGATCATAATTAAAATAATTGTTAAGCCTCCAGCTCCGTTCTGTCACACACACACACACAGTTTGAATCTTAATCTCGTCGCGCTGATGCGTCCTAATCTACTCGGCACCGAATACGGGGATTCCGGTTCGGATGCCCCTTCGAGGGTTTCCTTCCGGCGCCGCGCGCATCTTTATCCTGAGATCTCCCGCCCTCGGCCGACGGGGCAACAACACCTTGCGGCTCCTCTCGTTATGCGTTCGTAGACGTACGCCACGCGCCGAGTCTGGGTCCCTTCCGTCCCCTTCCGTTCCGTTCCGTCCGACCGAGGGGTGGATCCCCGTAGGAGATGGATATCGCTAATTGTCTCAAGGCGAATGGCCCGTAGTGCTAGTAGCACGCGACCGTTGTATCCTGCCGCCTCCTCTCCGCTCCGTCCACCACCTTCCCGACGGTATTCACGCGTCGTCCATTCCGCGCGGTTCCGCATCCGTCCGCAAGACGCTCGATCGCGGGTCGATTCCATCGATATCTCTCGTCCTGCGCGGTGAACTTTGCGAACGTGCGCGACGCGCGCGAACGCACACGGAAAAAGTTTTGCCAATTCAAAAAAATATAAGGACACAAAAGCCAAATTACTGGTGTTGTTATTAATATTTAATTGAATTAGCAAATTTATTCATAGTAATAAGTTTTAACGGCTCTAAAATTGAATAAATTAAAAAATATAAGAAAATATAAGCAAAAGTTTTTTTGCGTTGATTGAAGAGGACCGAATATTACGGTTGAAACGTTTCACTGTGTAGTGATTTTTGTGATTAAATTCTAGCGCACATCAGCAATTTGGCTCTTGTGTCCTTATATTTTTTGATTTATTCAACTTTAGAGCCGTTAAAACTTATTACTTTGAATAAATTTACTAATTCAATTAAATATTAATATCCCAAGAAATTATTTGTCGATATGAGATACAGCAAATGACCATGCAGTGAGAACAAATGATTTGTTACTTTCAATTTGTTGGCTCTAAGCAACATTAAGCAGCACTTCTCTAATAGAGGACATAACCTAGCTTAAGTAGACGAGAATGCTACTTGTATCTCAGGTAATATACATTTATTGAAATCACAAATGATGAAAAATGATTTGCAATACTAACTGTTTAATCTTTTCTCTTCATGATTATCGAACAATAAACGTGCTTTTCTTCTGATAATCGAGGGATTTTTTTCGGTATGTGTTATATTGCACAGCGACATGTAACACGACGAATTTACAAGAGGGATGATAGAAAATAATTTTTGCGTCAAAATACGTAAAGTTGACATTGCGACGGCACTGAAAAAAATTGCAACTATAATTACATTGAAAAAAACTATCATAAATTAGGGCCAAGGAAATCATCTTTTTAATTACATTCTACTATGATTTACTTATTTAGTCGGGAAAAGTTAGTGACAATAATTATTATATGCATGTTATTACTACTATTTTCGTGCTAGAACAATAAAAAATATGGGGCTAAAAATAATTATGATTTTAGTTAAATCAATCATTTCTTTCTCTCAGTGTGGAGATATACATCGAGTATTTCAATGACGTACTATCGATAATCATGCAGAACTAAAAATGACGCGAATTCTATGTGCGACCTTTCTTAAGCTCAAACGTTCTGACACAAAATGATACGTAATTCTCTTACACAGAGAAGAAATACTTGAAAACTTATTTGTAGAATATAAAGAAATACTTGAAAATTTATTTGTAGAATATAAAGAAATACTTGAAAATTTATTTGTAAAATATAAAGTTTATCTGAGATAAATTTTGTATCCCACAAATGAATTCTCAAGTATTTTTTTTTTCAATGTAATATTTTGCTGCATAAATTTTTTTGTAGAATCAATTCCAGTAACGACCATCAACTTGCACAAAGTATTTCTGGAAGAAATATTTCTGTTGTCGTCTCTCGCAAAAGCAAATTTTGAACTTGCAACCCTTTCGTGTTTTTTTTTCTTAAATTAGACACAACGACAGGCCGCTTTTGGTACGACCCTGCGTACCCCCGCAGGTACATCTTCATTGTCCTTTTCACGCTACCTACACAACGGCAACATATATATAATATGCCACATATAGTTATTGCACGTGGTGCGGCTTCTATTGTGAAAGCATCTGTTGTTCCGCCGGCCTTCGTGACGCGAACGCTGACAGCGGGGAAGAAAGAAAGGCGGGAAATCGGAAATTGAAAATTAATTTCGGCATGCCGTTGCGTCGTAACATCGACATCCGTCGAACAACGCTGCAAAATTCGACGGTATCGCCGCGATATTTGTTACATACTCATCATCCGTTCTCGACAACCTCGGAGTAATTGCAACGAATTTAAGAACCTCACCAGTTTGTCGTAAGCCCTTTGGATCTTTAATTGACTGTACCGTTACGCCATTTATTCAAAGTTGCGGTTTCAACGGGACATGAAAATCGCGACAGATTTTGCAGATGTTTCAAATTTAATGACCACGACAGATATATAACAATGATAGAATCCCTTTATCTTCTTTTTCTACACCTTTCTCTCGTGCCATTCTTGCACACTGAAAAAAGGTACTTGGTATTTGTGACTATAATTGCACAGTGAAATAATTACAGTCCATCGAGGAGTATTTTGTAAAGTGGCACTACAGCGCTAGTTAGCCACATTGCTGCTATTACTTTATTGTTGGAGCAACAAGAAGTATGCCGCCGCAAGTGATTGTAATTAGTGATAATTAATTATAGTCATAGAGATCAAGCCTTCGTGTCTGGCAGTGCACATGGCAGGACATATTCGCAGGTGATCGCCTCGCGACAATTACCGATTACGATAGGAGGCCTCAATTTCCTCACGGGCAATGTTCGCGGTTGTCTTTCTTTCAGATCGTCGACCGCCTTTCGGCGGCTCGCGGAGGAAGGACGCGTTCGCGGTGCGGGCGTGCCTGCGGAGCGGACGGCCAAGAACCTGAGGAGGAGAGGGGTAGGTACAGGAGGAACCAGAATGAGCTGCCAGGTGTACGTATCGCCCATAGGGATCGGTAGAAAACAAGGTGGGAACCATATGTTGATCTGCTGACGGACGTTCTGGCACGCGCCGCACTCAGACTCGAACCTTTACACCGCGAGGATCGGTGACTGCGCTGTCCACTCCGGTGTCCTGTCGACCCGAGTACTCGACAGTGCAGTCCCCGTGCTTCCCAGTCGGTCCTGATCACGGGGAAGGCGCCATAGTGAACGGGGACTGTGAGTGAGAGAGCGAAATAAGAGGGCGAGCGAGTAGACGCGAGCAGGTGATGTTCTTCAGGGGATTTCCTCCTTGACGTTATCCCGGATCGTGTCGCGACTATGACAGTCGTTGAAAAGCCGAGGGGGACGTTTTGAAATCATTTGTCGCAGAGTGCGTCGCCACTACGAGAGCCACCACAACCGATCGCGTTAACGAACTCGACGGGATGCGACTGGGCGCATCGATGCTGGCGCGCTGCGTTCCGGCCCAACGTGATCTCCGGTTTATGTGACGAAGAAAAGAGAAATGTCGTGAAAACTCTTTGCTCCTATCACGAGAGAAACGACTCTGCCTACGGACTCAGTGAAACCACCCTCCTCGCGAGGCCGACTTTGTGAAACGGGATTGCTTCGCACTCTGACCGATGAAGCAGAGACTTCCCGACGTGCTCAGTCAATGACAGTGATCACTCCCGCTCGATCATGGCTCTACTGTCGAACCACCACTGCAACTACCAGAACACGCAGTCCGAGATGCTGACACCCACGTATCCAAACCCAACGAGGAACTACGACCCCTTGTACCCGTCGCCGTACAACTCGCCGAGTTACGACTCCGGCAGGATCACGTATCGGGACAATTGCGCGCACGAGAACGAGCTCACGCCACGCAGGGAGGTCGAGACGTTGGACTACGCTAAGGACGTGGTGTCCGAGTACACGAAGACTCCGGAGGGATACGAGAGAGGACCCTACGGCGTCCTGACGCCTGTCACACCGCAAAGGTAAGCGCGCGCAGTCGGCTCGCCTTTCATCCCGTCGCGAATGCGCCGCGGGTTTCAATCGCAATCATCGACGGAAAGTAGTAATTATTATTCATCTAGCAGACATTACTGTCAATGTGTGGTCAGTGATTAATTGGTCAGGTTGATCACTAACTACTTGTCGGGGATTATTGCGATTCTAGTCGGGGCCGAGTCGAATTGACAGGATTCGCTTCGAGATTCGCCGTTTTCATTATTTGCAGATATGAGCAGCCGCACTCAATGGAGCAAACAATGTCGCCGCGATCGGCGTTGTACGAGGAGAGTTCTATGGACTATCAGCCGCCGCCCTATTGCTACGAGACTCCTCCACAGGAGCCGAGATATCAACCCCTAGAGAATAGCAAGCCGGTCCTCACGATTGTCGAACCACGCGCCAGTTGTTGGGAGCCTGTCATCTCGACTCAAGTAATTCCACTTATCGATCTAATTGCCTGTTTAACTATCTTCGACATGCTTTCGGAAAAACTCTTAAGTAAAAATTCCTAACGCTTATACAGAAAAAGAAAAATGGTTGGGTCGATGAAACTTTGTTTGAATCAACAGAATTCGTTAATTGATGTAGTGAGTTATCAATTGATTCAATGATCGCGCGATTTGTTCAGTAATTGTATCAACAGATCTCATTGTTGCACTAATTTGTTTTTTTTAACCAGTTAGCTGTGTATGACGAGTATACTCGCCATGAAGAAATGGCAATTTTTAGCGTTATGACGAGTATACTCATACAAATTAAATTTAATACAATATTATAGCAACTGCACATACTCTGTGTTCGACGAGTATACTCGTCATCGCTTCATTTTGCAACACAATTTAGGTATTTTTAAAAGAGGGCAACACAGCTAACTGGTTAATAAATATGATATCTCTTTGAAGGCGAGCGAGCGCCGATTTTGCCGATTCAACTGTTTTGTTCTCAGCGTAACGATGATTCGTACTGAGAGAAATTATCTGATAAAAAATTAACACACAGATATTTCCGATCAATATACCGATAAATTTTTGTATCCGATCAGAAAACATCCAATGAGAAGTATTGGTTCATAATTTTTTGATCAGTTTATCTGACAAAATGCCATTATGATTGGAAGTATCCGATTAAATTTAATCGGATATTGTGACCAGATATAAAAATTGATCAGAATTTGATCGGAAATATCCGTTTGTTAATTTTTTATCGGATAATTCCTCTCAGTGTGCGTCTTCTGTTGAAATATATAAAAGCTTCATGTTAAATAATTTATCGGGTCAGATGCAGAGAGCTAATAATCGTTAAACGTCTTTCCCTCTCTCTGAAAATTTTCGAGACAAAATTCGATTTGGTTAACCCTACAGTCGTCGCGCTATTTTTCGAACACGAGTCGACGCATCGGATCTTGAGAGACCCAATATAAAAAATTACTTTCTATCTTTTATATCGAGAACTTAAATATTTTCTTTATTTAATTAGGTTTTTGGGTTCACGTAAAATATAAGAAAAGACTATTTTGGATATAATATTCTCTTAAAGATCCCATGCTAAGATTGTAAGGTTAATAAAATCGTTAATCGGATAGTTCAGCTAGTGAGTACGCGCGGCTGGTGCACGATTCGCTTTGAACTCGGTCGGCAATTGTTCGCAGAAAATGCCGACGACGCCGCCGGTGAGTCCGCGAAAGGGTAGACGGAGGTGCCGTGACGTTCCGCCGTCACCGACAGTCCTGAAGCGCCGGCGCCTCGCCGCGAATGCACGTGAGAGGCGTCGTATGAACGGCCTGAACGACGCCTTTGACAAACTGCGCGAGGTCGTGCCCAGTCTGGGAACCGATCACAAACTCAGCAAGTTCGAGACCCTGCAGATGGCACAAAGCTACATAGCAGCCCTGTGTGATCTTCTGCAGAGGCACGATGGGAAGAGATAGACGGAGGCTAGCCGGAAGACGCAAGTACTACACGCTTCACCCTTCATATTCCTTCCAATTTCGTGTGCCATTTCGCTAATTGGACCTTGGTTAAATTCTTCTGTGCAACAGTGGTCTTTAAAAAATGCGTTGTTTTACTTTGAGAACTTTTTTAAAATCTCTTTATAAGTTTCCTAATTTTAAGTGAAGCCGAAGAAAATCATGTGGTCTATAAAAGTATTAAAAAATACTGACTTAATCTTTTTATAATTTCCTTAATTTTAAGTGAAGCCAAACCACACAAATTGTATAGTCCCTATGAAGGGTATTAAAATGTAATAACTAGCAGAAAATACGCACAAATTATATTTTAATGAATATCGAAAGACAAAACGAATCACACTTTTGTAAAAATGCAATAAGACTGAATCGCACAGCCAGCACACAGAAAGCACTGCTATTATAATTGATTTCGAGACTAATGATTAGTGGATAATTTTCGATTAATGGAATTTTATGTGCTCGACAAAGCTTGATCGCATGTTGTTCTTATTAGAGTTGAACATTTGCAAATTACTACTTTTATTGTCACTATGTGAAGGGTGCAAACCGAAACTGGTTTGCTTCATTGTGTATTTAACATGTATAATATACGTTTTTTGAAATATATATTTTTTATAATCTGATTTGAGAGAGATGTTTCTAATATATATGATCGCGTAAAATTAAGAAAATAGACCTCGGTCTTCAAGTGTGTTAGACTTCGTTAACTAGATTTTTACATACGTATTTTTACATTGTGTCACAGATGCAACGACGCATAAGTATGTCTGTATTTTGCGATATATATATATATATATATATATATGTACTTCAACTTATATAAGGCAAAGAAACAGCTAAAGATCCAAAGATTAAACGCGATAGTAGGTATAAAGTCTGTAACTTCGCAGATATATTAGATTTATCTATAAAAACAATAACATTATATTACGTCATATCAGCCTCTTGTAATTTCAGTAAAGCGTATAAATAGGAGAAATATAATTCTTCAATGATTTTTCAATCAAAAATGCGAGATAAAATCGATAACTATAATCATTGTATGGTTGAGTTATTATATTAATCGCGAAAGTTTTACAATTTTAGGTTTTAAGACCAACGACATGTTCCTTAAGTTTAAGATTAATAATATCTTTGAACGAGTCGTGACACTGATGAATTGTTTATTGTAAATCTATGATTACTACGATTACTATCTAGTCAAGATTACTATCTTATCTTTATGTTTTAATGTCGCGCTATCTAAATGATGTATTTTAATGTAAAAAGTATACCCTATGCATTTAAGGGAATGTGCCACGTTGGAAAGCTACAAAGAAGAAAAATTCACTTTTTATTGTGTTATGGTGGATATGTTAAAGTAACAAATAGCACTGTGGACACACTAACTTGTTGATCTTGTAAACAAAATAGCAATGCGAGCTCAACCGCCGTTGACTTGTGCAGTGATGTCAGTTATATTTCCCAAACACATATGTGAGATCCAAAATTTTAAAACAATTTTTATTTAATAAGATACTATTTAAAATGTAATGTAAAATTTTCAAAAAAAAAGTAAATTGAAAGAATAATCTAAGTTTGAATAAAAATATCAGTTTTTAAACATACTTTTCTTAGATATTTTGAAATTTAATGAGGTTAGAATAAAAACGGCTATGATAAGTCATTGTATAATAAATTATTTTATAAATATCTATGTAAATGTAGATTAAAATCGGTTTGAAATTACTCGAGTTATCATCGACACTACTTTACACGACAGAGTCATGTATCGTCATTTTTACAAAATTAACAAACTATTATATTAACATATTAATGCTATTTGTTACTTGTGCATACACTATAATAGAATAATATAAAGATCGATTTTTTCTTTGTAACTTTCCCGCGAGTACTCCTAAAGAGATCATTCATTTGACGTTTTCCAACGTGGTGTACCCCCTTAAACGATCAACGCCAAAGATTCGAAGTAGGAACAACACTGCAAAGAGCAGTGGCGAAGAAATTGCGTCCAAAGATTTTCTTTCTATAGAAATAAGAGGCGTAGGCGGCTTTTCGAATCAGAAAGGAGTAAGGGACAGAGATAGAGAGATTTTTGAAAATCCTTTTTGTCACACTATAACCTATAAGAAAACTCACTGTATAATGCATGATAAGTGTGCGGCGATCAATTGTATCGAATAACGACATGATTTTGTACACAATTGTAAATAAAGAACTGTGCGCGCAAGCGAGCGCAAGGGAAACGAATGAAAATGTGCTGCATAGAATTCCACGGTGTCCTGCAAAGAGACAGGCGAAATCGCGACTCAGATACGCATTTTCGCGGATAGAAGAAGTGGTAGAACGCGATAGTTTCCCGATTTCGCGTTCGAGATATGAGAACAAGAATGTCGGACGGACGTGCTCGCTTTATTTCATAGACCGCTCGGAGTCGCATCGACCGTGTCGATCGGAAGTGTAAAGAATATAGCGACGCACGATTGTCATACCGCATTCTTCCGGTCATCTCGTGCATAAACGTCGATTTTCCGGTCGGCAAGCGGGCGCGTGACCGGCACACGCACTTGTTCACCCTTCCGTCTTTCGGAGTTCCCCTCGGAGGGCTTCCCATTCCGGATACGAGCGATTCACGTGCGCTTCTCTTCGATGGCGCCCTCATTATTTTCGGTTTTGTCATCACGCTATATCCTCCTCGATATAGCTTTCTCCTACCGAGACGTCGCGCGCAACTCGTCGGGTATCTTTTTCACGACGCCGTGAGAATTCCTCAAGTCGCGTAGACGTTGCTCCGCAATTTCGCTAATTACTCGCGTCGCGTTTGTTCTTTGTCCACTTGTTCCTCGACCGCTCTTCCTTCCACTTCCGAAAGGACTGGACGGCGGATTAATGCGGCGTTACGCGCATGACAAACGGCAGCTGTCGTCAATGTTACCGGGATGCATTGTGTTCGCAGCGTGTAATATACTAAACTGCACACTAGCCAGCCGACAAAACAGGAATTGTACTCTATTAAACAATGTTATTCGTCGCTAAATACGATATCGCGAAAGAATAGCCAAGAGCCAAATCCCGCGGCGATGAGTTGGTATTTCCAAAGCGAGAATATGGCGATACGTGGGAAAGGACATCTTGTAAGCGAGAGCAACGAGTTATATTTTTGTATCTACCAAGTATCGGGTAGAGTTCTTTAAGAGAATCATACTTGGGACATACCGTATTTGTATATAAATTCCTTACTATAGGAAGGAAGCGAGTGAGAGAGAACATATCTAAAATGTCTAAAATCGGGACAAAAGATGTCTTACTCCTTGTCCATAACCTTGCTTTAATCTTTAAGCCGTAATAAATTGACCAACCGCAGTCGATTATTTTAAAAATAATTAACTGTGATTGGTCAATTTCTTACGGCTTAAGAATTAAAGCAAAGTTATGGACAAGGGCTTAAAGATCATCTTTACGCCTTAAAGACATTCATATGTAAATCGTCTGAAAGACACCTTAAAGATGATCTTTAAGACGTCTTATGTCCCGATTTTAGACATTATGTTGTCTGGGAAGCTGCAGCGTGCTTTGTCATTTCAGTCTTAGAGTTTTTCCCTTCATCTCTACCAAAGTTTCTCTCTCACTCCCACTCATGTCATCCCTAAAAATGGCAGACAGGATGCGGGCCAATTAGGAATCATCATGCTTTATCCTAATTCTGACTAGAGGAACTCTAGTATTCGGTAGTCAGAAAGTTCGATTCAATTTCTGTGTTAAATGTAATTTTACTGCACATTCAATGTATGGTAAGAAATTATTCATCAACTAAATAATCTCTGTCGTTATCTATAATCCTCCATCAATATTCCAGTTCCGTATACATCAATGCTGAACATTAATCGAATAACATTTTATTCGATTGAAATGATCGGCAAATCAATAATCAAAATTATATAATCAATTGTCTTATACGTAATCGTACGAATAATTTGATCGATTGATAAAATGAATTACTAATTATTGTATAGTCAATCAAATAAAAAAGTTTGATTAATAATTAATATAATCAATCGATTAAGTTATTCGTGATGACGACTGATTAATTTGGACTACTGATTTATCAGTTGTTTTAGTCAACTAACATTTTAATCGATTAATGCCTAACATGGGTATACATCTCGGGTATACTGGTTTACACTTGCAGATAAAAAAATTGAACGAAACTTTTTGTTTTTGACTCGATAAAATATAAAATAATTGTTTTTTATTGATAATTACTTTTGTCTGTAATTAATTTTCAGGAGGGACTACCGGACGTTACCCGCCACTGCTTTTCGTCGGCATTCGTCGACGGCATGCCCGAGTGATATCGAAACGGATAAAACGTATCGACGCCTCGTCCTTTTTTCCGTTTTTAATAGCCACTCGTGCGGCCGTACGTCGAATTTCAGCAGAAGGGAATGTCACTCGTGCCGGGTCGCTTGTCGAACAGCGCCGGCAGCGAACGGACAACATTCCTTACGACGATCTCGCCGACAAGGATGGCCCTAAGAAGGCGATAAACGCGATTCCAGATGGGCAGAGGGGAGCGCGAGTCGCGAAGCGACATAGTGAGACGTCAGAGCGATGTGCACGCGTGAGAATATGACGCGGGGCCCTTAAAAGGGCGCCCACGTACGGCGCACCTCAATCGATCCTCGACCAAATGGTCGATTAACGCACGTCGAATTGCTCGGCGGATCGGTTACTGATCGCGTGTTATATGCGAGCTGCCGGGGGAATCCGGTCATCCTCTGGATATCTTCACGATTCTCGATAAAAGAGAATACAAAATTTTAACGTGGCCTGTAGAAAAGCGGTGCGTTAGATTTAATTACGCCTTATCATAATTGCATGCCATTGAGGCAATCGAAATTATTTTATTTCGTACACTGAAGAACACAATGGTTGATCTAAAATTATAGTCATTTTTGGTCAACCATATTTTTTTCAGTAAAATTGTAGAGTAGAAACATGCATGCAAGATTATTATCACTAATGAATTTAATGAAAAAATCGTTTTTAACCACAATTTATAGTAATTATTTCTCTATGTGATTACAGCTACAAAAATATAAAAATAAAATAAATATAAATATAAAATAAAAATATTTTTTACATAATTATAATAAAGTAACATTAAACCTAACGCACGGCTCTTATAAGGCCTGTTATAATTTCGTTAAATTTTTAATGCGAGAAACAGTTTGGATTAATTTGTTCGATGAAAGCGCAAAAGAGTTCGTAACGATGAGAAGTAGAACAAGCGATTTATCATATCTCCGATTGTTCTTACAAACTACGTCACGAACAGGCGAGAGGACGAAAAGCGGCCGGCTTTGTTAAAACAGGCGTGCCTCAATTTAATATTATATTATTTTGTTTCATGCGTGTACACCGAGATCAGCACGAAGGAGACAGATATCGAATGAACTTGTTCGCTCGCATCACGGATTATAATATATCGGCCCGACGTGACAAACAAGCGGCAAAAACACGAGACTTTGCGATCGTGCCCCATCCTTCCGTTATCCTTCCAGAAGGATTGGCTAGATCGAGAGAAGAAGAAAAGAGATCCGTCGCGTTTCAAGGTATACGTAGGCGGACAGCGGCACGTGCCCCACAATAGAGCTCGTTAGCGATTTCGTATGATTTCCTTTTTCGTTTCTTTCTCTAGATGGACGTCCACCTTCCTGTCGTAAATAAGGATCCCTTCCAGCACCAGATGTCCGGTAATTAGCGATCATTAATTACCTGAACGGTCGGACCAGCGTTCGGCGCGCGGGCTTCTACGAAAGAAAGAGAGAGAGAGAGGAGGGGGAGAGAGAGAGAGAGAGGCTCGATCTCCCGCGATATATATATGCCGGTAAGATCCTTTGAACGCGAGATCTTCGTCCTTGAGATACACTGCATATAATTAAAAGTAAAAGAAAGAAGAAGTAGCCCGCGAAATAATTCCACGCTACGAAACCGACGAGATCCAACGAGACAGACGACGTTTCATCGCGAATGATAAACTCATTTCACGGGTGTTTTCTACACTAAAAAAATTGTTAAAAATTTATTTGCGAGATATAAAGTTGATTTCTGCGAAATAAAGTTCATTTCTATGAAATAAACTTTTATCCCACAAATAAATGTTTAAGTGTTGTTTCAATATACGTCGAGAGCAAAATTGACTTATTATGACATAAAATATTTTTAAAATATGAAAATATATATTTTCTCAAAACCTTAGCTTTGCACGAAAAAAGCAATTGTTTATTTTATTTAAATTTAATTAAATATGTTATTAGTACCTACCGAATAAGTATTTTTTGATTTTTTAGACAATTTTTCTTTCAGTCTAACAAAGCCTTTAATTCTTGATTAAACAAGGGAATGTCTTCAAATCTCTCGCTAATGTTTGCTAATGTACGATTGCTGTTATTTGAGTGTTCTATTACTGTTATTTGAGTGTTACTATTTAAATGGTGCTCAATTACAAATAAAGGTATTGCTTTAATAACAACTGACGCGAGGCAGGAGAGAAAAGCATGGTTAACGTCCCGTTAGAAAGGGGGACGGGAAAGGGCGCGGACATGTCGGGAAGAAAACGAAGGGAGACAGCGGGAAGCTGAGGCAGATTTTGAGCGAGTGGTCACTCGGCCGTGGGGCGTGTCCGGGAATGATCAAACTTCTAAAGGATCGCTGAAAATCGATTTCAGGCACAATTTGCGCCGAACGCGTCGCACCGCACCCATTCGCCCGGGAAAACAAATTGGCCCGAGCGATTCGATTATCTGCCCTCCTTCGTTTCGCCCCCGCGTTCTCCTCCGTTCGTCGAAGTTATGCCCCGTCTCGTTCACGCGGTTCTCGCAGTTTCTTACACACTCGTAATTGAATGTAATGACGAAGCTTCGCCGATTAACTGTTCCGGCGAAACAAACGGTTCCTTCGATCGCGCCTTCCCCGTCGATTTCGTTATTGCTTCCCGCGTCTATTCGTACGCCTCGTTAGAATAAGCGGACCCCGTCGTAACGGTTAATATCACAAAATCAAATGGAAACGCGCGGAAGAGAGCTGTCCGAGTCGTCGGTTTCAATTTAGACGTGGAAGACGTGACACACCGACGAAAGAAAGGGGTACCGGTATGATCGAAGAGCATACCCGGCGATTCTCCACGTATCGCGCCTAATGCGCAGACGATTCGTCTCAGACGGCTACGACAGTGAGGACGAACGGCCTCGAAGCTCGTGACCACCGTCTGCCATCCTAGCAATGTCAACAGCCTGAACCGTCTTATTAGTCAAGGTCCTTAGAAAACTTTAACAAGTACATCTGATACCGAAGAGATTCACAAGTAAACCTACCCAAAAGTTACACTCCGATTTCTTTCTAATTTGGCACAAATGTAGAAATACAAAAAAATATTTAGATCATGTTTTTTTCATTTTGGCCCACTTTGAGTTTCAT